CGCGAGGTCGCCCTGGCCCGCCGGGCCCTCGAGGAGCGCGAGGCGGCCGCCGCGGAGCGCGAGCGGGGCCTGGCGGAGCGCGTGCAGGCCCCCGGCCCCCGGCCCGCCGCGCACCGGGGGGCTCGAGGGACGGGGCCGATGCCAGGAGGGGTCGGGCAGAGCGCTGGGCCTTGCGGGGTCCTGCAGGGCCAGGGTCGCACTGGCTCCTCTGGGCCTGGGCGCTGGGTCCTGCAGGATCCTGCAGACTCTTGCAGAAGTCCAGGGCTCTCGGAGGCCTTTCCGCCCCGGACTGCTCCCCAGCAGCTTCGCCTCGCCCAGCGCGTCGGGTGCATGGCCCGGCTCGTCCCGAACGGCCGCTGGAGGCCCGAGTGATGGCCCGAAGGCCACTGGCGTCCGTGGGGTTGAGAACCCAAGTGGGCCCTGGAAACGACGGGGCAGTTTTTGTTGTAGTTTCGCCTTTCGCGCGTTTGTACGCTCCACAGCCAGATGGTTGGAAACGGCTTAACAATCAGCCGTTCCCAGTGCCCATTTAACGTGGCGACCAGGGGGGCATAGTATCATGACTGGGGCAATGAAATCACCGTGAATTCCTGACCGCATCTTCAACTTTTCCTTTTCATTATTCGCGTTATCTATATTGGTCTGAATGTGCTTTTCATAATTCAATCGCTTCGCTCATTCCGCCGGCCCATGTTGCATGATCACTACTACTTCGCCGTGGGCCCAGGGCCATTGTGGCGCCGCCGAGGAGGAGGAGGAAGATGAGGATGGGGAAGGGGAGGGGAGGAGGAGGAGAGGATGAGAAGGAGAGGAGGAGGATGAAGATAAGTAGGAAGAGGAGGAGGAGGAGGAGGAGGTTGCTCTTGGGGCCAAACAGGGTCGTCGTCAAGATGCTTCTTTGGGAGGCCTCTTGGGGTCTTTTGAGAAGCCGTTCGGGAGCGCCTCGGATGCATGTTTGAACTTTTTGGGCCTCTTTGGGGCCTCCTGGGGGCCTCCTGGGGCCTCTTGGGGCCTCTTGGGGGCCTCTTGGCGGCATCTTGGGGCCTCTTGGGGGCCTCTCGGGGCCTCCTGGGGCCCTCTTGGGGCGGAAGGCTCGAGTTTTCTGTTCGTGGTCCCCTCTTGGGCCCCTCTTGGGGCCGTCTTGGGCGCCTCTTGGGCCGTCTCGGGGCCCTCTTGGGGCCCTCTTGGAAGCCTCTTGGCCCGTCTTGGGGCGCTCTTGGGGGCCTCTTGGGCCGTCTTGGAGCATCGGATGGCCGAAAAGGCGACAAGGCCAAAATCCTTCCAAAACGATCGTAATATGTATGATTTTGGCCTGTCGGGCCCTCTTGTGAGGCCTCTTGGAGGCCACTTGAAGCACCTGCTCCCTCCTCTTCTTTCCTCACTCCTCCTCCTCCTCCTCCTCCTCCTCCTCCTCTCCCCTCCTCCCCCCTCCCTCCTCCTCCTCCTCCTCCTCCTCCTCCTCCTCTCTCCTCCTCCTCCCTCCTCCTCTCCTCCTCCTTCTCTCCTCCTTCCTCCTCCCCTCCTCCTCACCCTCCTCCCCCTCCCCTCCTCCTCCCCCTCCTCCTCTTCCTCCCCTCCCCCTCCTCCCTCCTCCTCCTCCTCTCCTCCTCCCTCTCCTCCTCCTCCCTCCTCCTCCTCCTCCTCCTCCTCCGCCTCCTCCTCCTCCCTCTCTCCTCCTCCTCCTCCTCCTCCTCCTCCTCCTCCTCCGTGCCGTCGAGGATCGAAGGAGTCGGCGCCTCTTCCTCGGCGGAAGGCGCGCGGAAGTGAGAAGTGCGCCCCCAAGTGATAGCAACCCTATTGGGGTCGGAGTTTCCGGAATCGGCCACGTGAGAGCGACCTCTCACCGCAGTGACTTGTTGGTGCGGGCAAGCAGGGGCCCCCACAGCGGGCACCGCCGCTTGTGTGGACGGTTTCCCCCGGGGCCGCAGGCGACTCGAGGAGGGGAGGGCGAGGATGGGGGAGGAGGAGGAGGAGGAGGAGGAGGAGGAGGAGGAGGAGGAGGAGGAGGAGGAGGAGGAGGAGGAGGAGGAGGAGGGAGGAGGAGGAGGCGGAGGGAGGAGGGAAGGAGGAGGAGGAGGAGGAGGGAGGAGGAGGAGGAGGAGGAGGAAGGGAGGAGGAGGAGGAGGAGGAGGAGTAGGAGGAGGAGGAGGAGGAGGAGGAGGAGAGAGGAGGAGGAGGAGGAGGAGGAGGAGGGGGAGGAGGAGGAGGAGGAGGAGGAGGAGGAGGAGGAGGAGGTGACCTGTTGGTGCGGGCGAGCAGGGGCCCCCCAGCAGCGGCCTGCCCGCCTGGACCCGGGCCCCCCGCGGCCCCCCGAGGCTGCGCACCAGGGGCCACTCCTGCCCATGGGCTCACGCGTACAGTCGGGGCCCTGAAGAAGGAACCCTTTTCGTTGGGGAGGGGCTCCGTGTTCCTTGATTGCTTCACAGCTTGCCTTGGGTTTTGCTTTGGTCTTCGATGGGAAGTCGAAGTCCAACTTGTGGATCTAAGGGGCCTCGTTCCT